GGGGCAGCCGCATCGGACGCGAGGGCGTGGGGCAACCGCAGCGGACGCGAGGAAGCAGCGCGGGCGCGCGGGCGGGAATCCGGATTTTTTAAATTAAATGGGTTTTCGGGTTGACCCGGCAACCCTTCAGGTCAACCCGAACCCGACCCGTTTTTCAAACGGGTCAAATCCTGAAACTCGAACCCGACCCGTTTTGAAATCGGGTCGGGTCCAACCCGGATTTTTCGGGTCGGATCCGGGTCGGATTTTCGTGTTGTGTCAAATATTAACAGCCCTACCAACAAGTACAGATGGAATTGAATGAAATTCATTAGATATATATTCTTGTAACCTTGTTATGTAAAAATACTAAAATATTATTGTTGTTACTTGTTTCACTGGTTGTAAAATAATTTTTTTTATTTTTTTTTTTATATTTGATTGAAAATAAAATAGTTGAAACACCTAATCCTTAATTTGAATTATAAAAGAAAGATAAGTGAATTGTTCATTTAACTTTAAAGGTAAAATAATCTTCATTCTTAATTTGATGTTAGTCTAAATAAGGGGTTGAGTTCCTAATTTCTTCTTTCCCTTTATTTTAATAGAGTTTGCTCTTTTTAATTGAAAGGTATTGTAATTGATTGACATTTTCTTTTTATTTTAGTGATTTAGAATGGATCCTCCACATAGTCAATTTGTATCTTTTGCTCAAGGCTTGCGAGAGAAATTAGATATTGCTTGGAATCATTTTAGTGAGTCCAAAGCAGCTGATGGAAATAACAATTTATGTGTCTTTATTGTGGGATTATTAAAAAGGTTGGAGGGATTAATAGGATGAAAAAATACCTAGCTATCATCAAAAGAAATATTGTTGCCTGTAAAAAGTCCCACATAACATCTGGTATCATATGCAAAAGAATCCGAAGGAAATAACAGACACAATAACATTCAGAAAAAAGTGTAACTATATTAGAAGAAGAAGAAACAAAAGAAGAGAGAAGCTCATCTTCACTATCTAAATCTCATAGCTAAGATACACATTATACAAGCACTACTAAGGGAACGAGGAAGATATATGAGATTGATAAATTTTTTTTCACTGCGAATAAAACATGGATCTCAACCATCAATGAAAACTGTAATGATATCTAAAGATGCCTACATGCTGATTTAGTCGTAGCTAGATGATTTAATGATAGTTGCATGCCATTTAATGTATGTTTTGAAGTCATCTTTTGCACAAAAGACCATTGATGCCATAGCCACTATTTAGACCGGGTTACAAGTTACCATCATATCATAAGCTACGAGTTACCCTATCATGAGATTGTAATGGTAGTGCAAAAAATATGTAGAATATTTTAGAAAAACATGAAATGATGTATGGTGCATACATTTGACTGAGGATTGAAGAGATAGAAGGAGTCGAATTTTGATAAATTTTATTGTAGATTTTCCACGAAGAATTTATTTCATAAAGTGACTAAAGTCCATATATAACTAAAGATGTCATAACATTTTATTCATTATTTAGTGAAATTGATGATTATATTAGCCTAGAGAATGTTGTGCAGTTAGTGATAGACAATCCTCATAATTATAAGAAGGCTGAAGAACCGTAAAAAAGTGGCAAAAAAAGTCTTAATTGATCTGAATGTAATAAAAAAAAAAATGCAGGATTTGATCTTCATTCCCAAAATTTTAAGAAAAATTAAAAAGCCGTTTAAAATGCTTTGGAACGATGGAACAATTTTTAGGAATAAACCCGCGCGGAGTTGCTGATGCCCGAAAGGTCGAGCTATATGCGCGTGCTCCGGTTCTGCTTTTGGGTGGAGGCGCCGAAAGAAGTCTGGACGATGAGGCGGAGGAAGCTGGAGGAATGGCGTCGGTTGTTGATCGCCGCGAGTTCGCATCGCTCTCAAACGGAGGTTGCTTTCCTCCTCTTCATTTTTTTTTGGATAGTTTACATGCTTATTTATTTAGGGTTTATTTTAGTTGCGCTTCTAGAAATTCCGGTTGTTTCAACAACACGGATTTCTGACATGGTTTAAAGTTCCTGAAAGCTTCCTTCTTTTTCTTTAGGTTTAAATCCAACGAAGAAGATTGTTGCGAAATGAGCATGAGATATAGAGAAAGGAGAATGAGATTAGGGTGCTAGTTTGCACGCGTAACCATTTAAAATGATTTGTTGGTTTTATTGATCAGAGTCATAGAAGGCGGGTAAAAACAAGTTAAGCAAAGGTGAAGTGGGTGCTAATATGAATATTTGGTGAATCTTTTAAGGTGACATAAAAAAAAAGATATTATGGAAAGTGCATCGTAGGGGATATGAGGTTGAAAATAGATTAAGATGTTTTGTATTGATAGAAGAAGATGCAGAAGGCAATGCAAGGTGTGAAGAGTTATGTGAAATGGTATGGAAGGAAAAAGGTTGACGATAAAGCTGAAAAATAACAGGGTTAGAGGTTTAAAAGATACTTGCATAAATTATACTTTTTGATGATTGCCTTATCCCGCTATAGAATCTTAATGGGATTGAATTTCCTACAAGGATGATGAATGCCAACAATTAATGGCATGGAGATTAAGGCTACTGCTATACATGCTAAAGAGATTTGTAGCAACAAGCTATCCATTCATGACCTCTATCATGTACAGTAAAATGCTCACTGGTCACCTTGATTGTCCCATAGTGGAATCAAGGTCTTCCATTGCTTATAATGGTATCTAATTATAGCAGTGGAGTGTCTATTATTTCTCACTTAGCCATTCCAATTAGAACATCAGTGTTTTCCTTCCTATCCCAATGTAATAATTTACTGTTGAATAGGTTGATCTGCCATTGCCTATGTTGTAATCTAACCCCAACAGTTTCTCTTTATTTCTCACTTAGCTGTTCCAATTGGAACATCAATGCTTTCCTTACTATGTAGAAGCATACGAATACAGAAGTATTCATTTAGTGGCAAAACAGAGAAAACAGAGAATGAGGAAAAGCTGATTGTGTTACTTGCTGTAAACAGTGTATACATTGGATATTTGGATTATATGGAGTCATAGCAAAGTATATAAAGACTAAGTTACCAATTGTTACATAAAGTGGTACTGACTGACATAGTGGACAATGGTGAACAAACAATAGAAAGTGGTACAGTAGAAAATTATTCTATTGTTTGGTTTAATATGTGTGTGTGTTATCATTATCATCCCCCCTCAAGGTGATATTTGTAATACCCAAAATGATCAGGAATGAAAAATTGAAATGAATTAATTATATATGAAAACTTATTTTTAAGTTTAAGGTTAAATTAATGTGAAATTAGTATTAACATTTAATTACCATTAGTTAAATAATAACTTTAATACTAAATATTAAGGTTATATTAAATGAAATCAAGCAAAGCAAGGTAAACATCCCTTGGCTTCACCCCTTCACGTTAACATTAGGTAATTTAAGCATTCTCTTTATTCTGAAGATAATTCCGAGATAATTCCGAAGAGATACCTGCTATAGGCAATAAAGCATGACAGTTATGTGAGTGGGACCATTTATTATCAGGAAAGAAAATGTTGGGAAGCATCGTTTGAGGGAATTACGTGATTAACCGAAGGAATTGAGTGCAGATTCCAGTAAATAACTACGACACAGTTCCTGCGGGACTGTAGAGGTCGTCGACCCGATGGGAATTCAACACGAAGGGATTTCTCTAGGCGGCATAGTGCAGTGCATGCGGGATTGGAATAGTGTTATGCAGTAGGAATTCTTCACAGGAAGAATTCGGCTGGAGAAATTCAGGATTATTTAGAAGAGAAATTTCCCATATAGTGCAAGGGAGGAGTTCGTCTGAAAGGATTTGGTGGCAGTAAAAGAAATCAACAAATATATACGATGAGGCAATAAGCAGGGGAGGGGATAAGCAAAAGAAAGAAGAAGAGAAATTGAGGAAAGAAGAATAAGAAAGAAGTTTCGAGAGCAGAGAACATGTTTTATTGGTCTTATGCAAAGAGAATGTTTTGAGGTGACATACAATCGTAGAAGGGTGCGAAGTAGAGAATTGGAAGAGACGACTGGGCAAGGATGTATGTGATACAATTATTTTTAAGAAAGTAGTCATGAAAGTAGATGATTTGATATTATGCATGTTTGATCAACCTTTTGTGACAGGCCTAGAAAAGAATATACTTACAAGTTTTCATGTATGATTGACACTCATATAAATTAATTATGTGAGTTTAAATCAAGGTATATTATGTTCATTTAAATATTTTCCTTAATGATAATGTTTTGAAAAGAGATCATTTTCTTTACTTATTATGTGTATATTCATGTTATACAATAAATGAATATGAAAGCTTGCAGCAAGTCTAGTATGGATAATGAATATGGAAGGTGTACTGAATATCAATTTAAAAGTAAAGTTTGACTAAAGATTTATGTATAACTTACCAATGTAGGTGGGGCAAAAGGGTCCCCATATATCAATAGAAATGAAACCTGCAAAGCAGGTGGGGCAAAAGGGACCCTAAAGAGGCAAAAGGGACCTATATGTAATTCAATGACGATAATGCCAGGTTTACCTGGGCTCCATTGAATGTGTATGAATGAGTAGCCAAATATTTTAATGAGTAAAATTGATATTCAGTATGAATATAAGAATAATTTTTGGATAATATCAAATGAGAATTTATGAAGCTTGCTTAAGTGTTATACCTTTTATTTATGTTTTCAATATTTTGAATTTTATAATTATGCAATTTAAATGTTATTTCAAATTGCATTAACTTATGGAGTCTCATAACTCACCAGTAGTTTATTACTGGCTGTTGTTAAAGGATAGGAAAAGGAAAAGGTGGAAGAAGACTAATCTGCAAGTATTTAAATTCTATGTTTGAAATCTACTTTTGAGGTTAGTAAGCAGTTTACATGTTGTACTACTTTGAGTTTGTTTGGACTTCCTTAGTGGCTCTGTAAATGTGTTTATTGAATTTTTAATTTGGAAGATGCTTCAGTTGATGTATAAATGGACTTATGGTTGAATGTTTTATATGAACATCTAAAAATAAAAGTTGTATTAAATGTTCTGAAAGGATAAATGTTTATGTGATGCATGTTACACTCAATGGTACTATTTAGGGGTACCGTGGGGTGTTACAATATTGTCACAGAAAAGTTGTGTAGATTGAAGCGATATAGAGAAGTCTTGACAAAGACGATGAAGCCAGATTATTTCCACGGCAACAACAACAAGGGATCGATACTCAGCTTCGGTGGAGGAACGAGCTACGGTGGATTGTTTCTTGACGGATCATGAAATGAGGGCGATACCAAGAAATATACAAAAATTAAATGTAGATTTGCGACATGTAGTGTTACCAGCCCAATCCGAATCTGCATATGCTGAGAGTGTAAGAGTGGTTTTGGGAAGATGAAGTCCTAGCTTCATTGTTCCTTTAATATATCGAATTATTCTCTCAAGGAGTTGGAAGTGGCAAAGTAGTGGTTTATACATGTGTTGATAGATCTTGTTGATGGCGAAGGCTATATCCAGCCTAGTGTTTGTAAGATATTGAAGAGAACTTTCAAGTTGCTGAAAAAATCCTGGTTGACTGTAGGGAACCTGAAGCATATGATCTGTCGGCCACTTGGAAGGTAATGGAGTGGCAAGCGGCTTGCAAGAAGACATAACAGTTGTAGACAATAAGTCTTTAATGTAACTTAGCTCAGATAAGTGGTAGCCATCAGGTGTTCGATGAAAATCGATGCCAAGGAACCGTGATAGAACATCGAGATTGCGAATATGGAATTGTTGTTGCAGTTCATTTAAGAGGGTGGAAATGTAACTTGAATTACTTCCAATGATTAGAAAATCATCAACCTAGATAAGTAGGTAGACTCAGATTTGATGTTGATAAAAATTGAAGAAAGATGGGTTAACAAAGCTAGTGTGAAAGCCTTTGTGTTGGAGATATGTGGATAAGGTGGAAAACCATTGCCGAGGGGTTGTTTAAGACCATATATGGCCTTACGTAGTTTACAAACATGTTGAGGAGTTTGGGTATCTTGGAAGCCTTGGGGTTGAGACATGTAAATTGAGAGTGCCATGTAAGAAGGTATTAATAACATCCAATTGAAGTATGGGCCAGTCAAAATGTAATGCCACAATGATGAAGGTGCTAACTGTGGTAAATTTGACTGTTGGGCTAAAAGTTTCTTGATAATCAATTCCATATTTATTTTTGAAACCTTGAGCCACTAAGCGAGCTTTGTAACTAGCTATGGTGCCAACGACATGGCGCTTGATGCGGTAAATTCACTAGAAAAAGGGGTTGAATTAGCAACACCAATAAAGAGTTTGGAGGATCATACCACTAGAAAAAAATCTAAAAATATTTTGACAGTGGAGAAAAAAATCATCAATACAAGGACGCTTTTTGCATTCAATATCAAATTTTGATTCCATAAATTTTAACCCATTCACGAATGCAAGTATTACTGGATTAAGCACTATTGAAACCCCAAAAATTAAGGATAATAATCCACCAGAAAGATAACTTATGGTGCAACTTTTGTAAGAAGGGGTATACCAAAGCAATATGTTGGAAAGTCGATGAGGCACCTCAAGGTCAAGGTGGATATTTAGAAAGTCAACCAAAAGAGCATGCTTAATTCACAGAGATTGGGGACTCAATTCAAGAGAAATTGACCGGCTAAAAAGCCATCTAAACTCCTAAGAAAAACCATTTGGGTTATCATTCAGCTCAAAATTTTGAAATTCCAATTCTTATACTTTTAATGACTTGAATAGTTTCCACAATACTTGGTTAATTGATCAGATTCCATTGACCACATGACAAACTTTGGCAATATCTTTCATATCAACCCTACTATAGAAATAGAAAAATCAAAGTAGCTAATGGCTCCTTAGCTGCTGTTGTAGGACAAGGGAATATTCTCATTTTTTACCTTCACTTCCAACAATATTTTACATGTTACTTGTCTTGCTTTGAGTTTGTTATCTATTCATAAAGCAACCCGAGGTTAAAATTGTAAGGTGACGTTTCTTAATGATCATTGTAATTTTAGAACCTAACTATCGGAAAAAAGGCTGGGCAAGATGGAAAAAATGGACGGGCTATATATACTTGAAGATAACAATGATTGTAACAATCATTCATCTTTTTCTTAAAAAATACCATTGGGATTATCACTATAGATTAGGGTATTTTCCTTTTAAAATTCTCAAATGCATGTTCCCTTCTTATTTAAAAATGTTGACATTAAAGTATTTCAATGTGAAACTTGTGAAAGTGCTAAATATGATAAAGTGTATTTTCCTTTAAATGAATCTCGTTCATCTACTCTCATTTTTATCCACTTTGATATTTGGATGCCTATGAAAATTCTAAATATCTTTAGAGCTAAAAGGATTTATAACATTTATCGATCATTATACTCAAATAACATGAGTTTTTATTACCAAACAAAAGTTTAATTTCAATGATCAATTAGGAATCAATATTAAAAAATTCAGGATTGATAATGTTTGAGATTATTTTAACCAAACTTTATCCTCTCTCTTCAACAAAGAAGCCTTTATTCATCAATCCTCATATCCCATAACCCCACAACAATATGAGGCTACTGAAAGAAAAATAGACATCTTTTTGGATTTGCTAAGATTCCTCTTCCGAAATCAGGTTCTCAAAGGATTGGAAGAAGCCATCCTAACCGCAACATTTTTAATTAATAGGATAACTTCTAGAGTGATTGATCTCAAACTATCTCAATGAATTTTTTTCTAAGAGTAATATCTTCATAAAAATTCCTCCTAAGATATTTGAATGTCTTATGTACACATTCATAAATAACAATGAATTGGACTCTAGAGTACTTAAATGTCTCTACTTAGATTAGGGGTGTCAATTTCGGGTCACGGATCTGGTTCGAGGTTAACCTGGAACTGACCCGGGTTCAAATGGGTCAACCCTAACCCGACCCGGGTATGTAAACGGGTCGGAAATGAGGACTTGGACCCGACTCGACTCGGAACGCCCGGGTGCGCGCGGGGGGGCGCGAGCGAGCAAATGCTCGAGCAGGGCGCGGGTTCGCGCGGGCAACTGGGGCAAGTTCGCAGGCAATTGATTTAAACGGGTTTGCGGGTTGACCAGGCAACCCGAACCCGACCCGTTTTGAAATCGGGTTGGGTCAAACCCGAAATTTCCGGGTCGGGTTTTCGTGTCGTGTCAAATATTGACGCCCCTAACCTAGACCATTGACACAAATCAAAAGTGGTATAAATGTTACCATCCAACAACCAAAGAAATTTTCATATTAAAAGATGTCACATTTAACAATTTTTTTTTTCCATAATTAGACTTATCTTCAAGGGGAGAACAATTACATTGAAGATAACTCTAACAAATTCCCCTAACTGTTCCACTATTATTATATAGGAAAATCAATACCTTGATCTCACTAAGATTAATTCTATAGTTACTGGACCAATTCAGATATATAAAAGAAGGAGAGAGCCCATCAAAATTCTCTTGACAGTCAAATATTGGAACTCATGTCAGGCAACCTTCCTACCTCTTTTAAGAATGATCTTGATCAACTTATTTCTATATAAAATTTTGTTGAACATTCTCAGTACACATTGCTTAGGATATATAAGACTATACTGTGATAACACATTACTAGTAACATTGCTCTTAATCTAGCTTAACATGATTGAACCAAACACGTAGATGTAGATAGACACTTCATAAAAGAGACTGAACATATGATTGATGATTTGCACTCATGTTCCAATAAGTTGCCGGTTAGCTGTACAATCAAAGGCTTTGCAAACCTATTCTGACAAAACTAGAAATGCTAACTCTCTATCAACTAGTTTGAGGGGAAGTGCTGAAAGGCCCTAAAATTTCAGAAGGAAATAAAAAGGCGGGCCTCTTGCTTAAACAATATATGACATCCTCCATCTCACCGATTGCCAAGTTTTAGGAGCTACAGTCCATGTATTCAGGAGGACGGAATTTAGCAAAAGAAGGTTTAGGAACACTATTCCATCAGCCGGCCTGTCTTAGATTTTGTGAGAATGGATTGTATTTACTTCTTTTCTTATAATTGTGTATATTTTAAATGTAGCCTACGTAGCTGTTTGTATAAACAATCCTCGAATGAATACAAAAAGTCTCAAACTGTTGTTGCTATTATCCTCTTTTCTACACATCATTTCACTCTCCTTTTTGCAAGTATGATTAAATATTGTTCCTGTAGTTTTAACGTCTGCTTTCCTCTACATCTTTGCTTTTGACATGAGAGAATAATATGTTGGGAATATATATGGGCTATTCCTTTTAGGTATGATGCTTTATGAGGTTTCAATCTGGTGTCTTAGACTTCATTATTAGTTTGCCTCCTCCTCCTCCTCCTCATCATCATCACTTATTTTATATGGGTCAGATTTCTGAGTCTTCATTCACCATCCATTCCATAAAGTGTTACATTTAATGTTAAGTTTTTTTTTTTGTGCAATTTTTTTTACAATTTCTAATCAATCATGTGACTTCAATCTACCTTTTTTTTTTCTTTCTAATCCCTCAATATTAAATTTATCTACTTATTCGTGTGTTTTGAATCCATTGTTATGCATGCCCAAACCGCTTATGTATAATATCACCAGTTCACCACTTATTTTCAATAATACTAAGCATATAATCCCTTTTATATAATTATTTTCAATCTATTCCTAATTTTGCCTTGCATCTATCATACCATTTTAGTTATGTCATACTTAACTTAGCTATCAATGACTTCTTTATCTCGCAAAATTTAAATCGATATAATAGAGGCAACCTAATTACAATTTATTGTATGATAAAAATAAAAATAAAATAAAGAAAAAAAAAGGACTTGCTTGTATGACAAAACAATGTTATCAAACAAATCTAGTTCGGCAAGCTTTTCTTTTTGGTGAATACAACCAGCTTCTAAACAATCACAAAAAAGAATCAATTAATGCCAACTTTGTTTATCCTCTTATTATAACTCCTGTACTTCTCTATCTATGTAATTATTATTTCTTTATTATCAATTTGTCATTTTCTTAGTGATCTCTCACAGTCGATAATATACAAAATAACACTGAAATTCATTGATTATGAATGATTTTTCCTCAGAACTGGCTGTTGATCTTGGCGATGGTTGAAAAAATATTACAATTCTCAAAATGCTTGTTCACCATTTTCACAACATTTCATGTAGATAGATAATTAAGAGACCTTAGGCATTGCCTGTTCTTTTGGCTTTGTAAGCCATTTGCTCGCCAAAGAGGTATTTCTTGTGTTCTCTGCCTCAAAAAACAGAGCCTTATTCTTAGAAACATTCAGAGGAAAGGTAAGCACATATTGTTTTATCTTTTGCTGATCAGCAACCTGAAACATAAAGCTAAAATTCAGCTATTTGTCTGTGTGGTTAGCCCAAACTTTGTCCCACTAAATTCAAATTCGTAGCACAATTCTCTGTTGTTTAATTTTTAGAAGTATCTAGGATGAGGAAATGATTGATAACGGTTAGTTGACCAGAAAAGGTTAGTTGACCTGAATACCTGATTGTTTGTTACCTCATAAAATTTCTCTACTCTGGATCAGCACATCCTCGTTATCAAATTTTGCATCCTTTGCATAGGAATTTGTTTCCTTGCTGGTTAGTTGAAGAGGAACATCTAACTCTGGAATACGCTGAAAAAAAAATTCATAATTTTCAGATTTCCTCATAGCATTTGTTGACGAATCATCTTTTGACTTTCTTAATCATTATTTTTAATCTTATCAAAATTTCAGATTTATATCCTAAACATAGTTTATCTTAACTGGCAGGAACTTGAACCTTTTTAAGTTTCACTTTGAAATATTTTTCCATCAAGGTGATATTTATATGAGTTCACATATATGTTAAGAAAATCTGGCATTAATCCAGGACATTTTACGTACTGAATAATCTTTCTTATCTTTATATCAGTGGCATTTTATGTTAATAATATAATAATGCAACATATGAGCAAACAGAGACACAGTTACCATTGAGAATTATCTTGTAGATCTGATAACTACAAAGTAAACCTCCCTGCTCAAATTGAGATTTACAATGCCATAATTTGACTTATCTTGGAGTACTTAGTTTATGTGTTGTCTTCTTTCACTTCGCTTGAAATTCTACCTTTATGTGTATGAAAATGAAATTACCATGCAACGAATGAGTGGCCAGTTGATCTCACGGAAGAAGGAATGCTGCTTGATTTCGTTGGCACCAATGTTAGATCCCAAACGATAGGTAGGGTCTCTGTGCAGCAATCCATTTATCAACTGCCTTGCTGCAAGGCTAACCTGCCAAAAGTTTCATGCTTTGAATTCATTAGGTATCTATGAAATTTTCATAAATGTTGGATTAGTTTAATGCAGCCTTCATTTTAAATTTAGCTATTCATTAGTTGAAGTCTTAAGAACTTGCAAAGAATTCTTTTCTTGTGCTTTATAAGTGTAAACACTGCACGGGCTTCATTAAAATAATCGAGACCAGAGTGCAATTTTTTGAGTAATGTGTACCTATCCTTTTGCTTTCGGAGCTGCAGAACTTACATGAACAGTATAAAGTGATCTAATGTGGTACTAAAAATCTGAGGCTATCGCATCATCTAAAGTTGGTATGAAGCTTATTCTTGGTTAACTAGCCGTGCTTTGATTCATGACTTAGAGCACTAGGTAGTGCTTCAGAAGCATTTAGAATCACAGGACTTTTGTGTAATTGAGCTCCATCATGGTTAGGTAGTGTTCATTATGCTAACGTGGTCGACTTATATTAAGTTAGTATCAAAAGCGTCTTCAATTTGGCCCTTTTCCAATAAAATTAAAAATCTGTTGATCTATTGTAAATAAACTAGTAAAGCTTAATATGGATGTGAATAGAAGATTTGAGATGCAACATTTGGATTAATGCTTATTAAATTTGTACTAGACATAAAATCTCACCGGTATGCTGCTTGGAAAGGTAAGATCTTTGTACAAAATGTTGGCAAATGTCCTTTGTCTATTTTTTCCTCTAAATGGTGTCCGGCCATACAGCATCTCATAGAGCAATATTCCTGCACGTTCAAAACGAAAGAACAGTTTAGAAGATACTTTGACTGACTGTATACTAAGATAGCTACATCAGTTTCAGAGGAATGCCTTTTTTATCCACACAGCAAGTTTAGGCAAAGGAAGCCTGCTTTGATTGCAGATGCCTAATGCTTTTATTTATTTATTTATTTTTATGAGAATATGATGTTCAATAATTATTTGGTTTCGAAAGATAGATTTGTGAAAAAAGAATGCTCGTATGCGGGAAAATCCAATTGTAGTTTTTCATAAATACATGGTTGTTGATGTTGATAGCTGTTCCGAGATCTACCCAATCAAGGACAGCGAAGTGACAAATAAACTATGTGACATCACACAAAATTAGTTCGAGTCGTGTTGACGAAAAGTTGAAATCACTCAAATGGCGTTCGTTTTCAAAACAATCAATTTCGTTGCGTTCAGAAGTGCTGAAATAATTATGATTGACGACCATATTAGACTGGTTTTTTATCGACAAAAATCAAGAATTTGCATGTGCGAGGTGACGACACCCAAATTTTTGTTCCTTTTTATGGACTTGAGGGGCCAAAATATTCCTTTAATTAATTTGGGACCATTTTGGTCCTTCAAAAATAGTCAAGAGATCATTTTGATCCTTTTTTCATTTTTAAAATGTCCTATAACTCTAAAATTACTCATTTGCGGCTTAAATCTTGATGAAATTAAAACAATCAATATCTACTAAAAGTTTAAATATTTAACGTGAAATTAATCACCTAAGACTTAAAGGATAATCCATCCCTTTGCCACAATTCTTTAGTGGAGATGAATTATAGAATAACTTTATTTCATAAAGTGAATGTCTAGTCGAGCATATCGCTAATATTCATTTTCAAACATTCTCTCGCCAGCAAAGACATGACACGTGTCCTCTAACTAGTAGTTTTGTCACAAATGACACTACAAATTAACAACTATGAATGGGGCCCTCTGACAGGTGGTTTTGCAGTGAAATAGTAACATTAAATTACGATCACGAGTAGAGACTGCTTGTTATCCAATGGCTCAAAACTCTTTAGTAATGAATTATAATTACACTTGGTAAGACACAAAGCTCTTTGTTAGCTAAGGTCGATTAATATTTGTCCTCTTAGACAAACATTCATTCCAGATCTACAAGTTTCTCCTAAACGAAGCAACTCATGATTGTCAACATGAATCCTTCAGTCATGTTAGGTGGACAACCTCCTCTGACAAAATGGACAAGGGATCACAACAACCTTACGACGGAATCATGAAATCTCATCGGACTTGTCATCATTCTCCCACCATCCGCTTCAAGTATATGGTGGTTAATTTCAAACCTTAAGAATCCGAATATAAATCCAAATTGTTGCTACTATGAGCTGGGAACTTGGTGCCTATCTAACGATTAGCCTTAATCAAAATTTCGCTCATCACTAGAATGGTAATTAACCATAGGGGTTGACGTTTATGGGAAACCTGGAACTCGATCATAAAATTATCGCAAAATAAGGGCGAAATCTCTTAGTATTGTCTTATCTCAAATCTAATATGTCTTCTGAAAGTTTACCCTAGAACATCATCCATTTAAGCTCCTTGTCGATATTAAGTGGTGCGGAGAGGGTGGGGCGGGAATTTTCAGAGCCTATAACGGTGACAATATGAAGTGGACAAAGAAATGTACGTACTTTCCTACACTGTGTAGAGCTAAATGATCATCAATAAGCTGTTATTTGGGCAAATTTAATTGGAATTTTGCCAGGAAAAAATTAGCATCCTTTAAACTTTAAGTTGTAGAATGCAAGCCAGCATAAGGGATTGCATCAGTGGTACATTTTGTGTTATTTGATTTAACTCCTTATTGTTCAGCTGTCATGTTGGTAGCTACTCATAAAATTGATTAATTTATAGTACCATCATATGTATTCAAAATGTTTGGTATTTACCATCAAAATTTTTTATTTATCCATGTACTGTCTTGCTGTTTGTGTTTTGCAGTTTCATGTTACAGTTATGCTTATTGTTAGAGTTTGACCCAATTATTATTTTATAGGCATTCCATTTTTAATCTTAATGATTATAAATCCATTTTTTTGGTTCTATTATAATTTCCATTGATAATCTTACCATCCTTTCTCTATTTCTCTTTTGCCACTCTCTCGTGCCTCTAATTGGGTCTTGTGATGTGAAGAAGTGGCCGGTCTATGGAGACCATCATCTCTCTCTCTCTCTCATCACAAATTTAGAGTAGTCTTGAGTGTGCAATGAGGTGGCTGGTGATCTGCTACCCTTCACACATATGTTGCTGTTGCTAGTCATAGCCAGTTATTGCTGAACAAAGTGCATGCAAGGGGAGAGATAATGATATAATTTGAAAAGCTAGTTGACTAATTGGGGTTTACTAATTGTGCAATAAAATGTTATTTTTCATAAAAACTACTATGAATATTTTTGTCATCCAAATCCTTGATTGATAGGCGGAGTCATGAGATGAGATTTAATAATGGATATAAATTTAAGCTGTCGAACTGAAACCAAAAATACAGTCTAATGGCAAAAGCAAATAAATAGTGGAGGGTTTAAGTCAGGTACAATTATGATAGTAAGCAAAATTGTAGGAGGCTATAATGCCTCATTTACCATAGATGTTTTATTTAGTTTCAAAGTGCTCTAGTGATGGATGACTTGATAAGGGAATCAGCTACCAGTGTCTTCCTGAGAAACTCGCAGCGTCACTTTCACATATTTTGAATGAGAGTTGATCAGCTGGTTTTCTTTTTCTGGACTTATGTTGCTTACCAAATTGAAATGTTGTATAGATCTGAGATGAAATGGATATTTAACAACCCATGCAAATAAAGAGATGTTCTGGCTGATTGCAAAACTAAAAAGGAGATTATTTTTCTTTATGCTTCTAACTTATCCCGTTACATTACAATGATTATGCACAAAATGAATTATTGGTTCTTATTTCTTGTCAGAATTAGTGATTATTTTAGTTTAAATTAGAGATGGAGACAAAATGATGATTTCCATACCAAGAGCCCACCAGTCAATGGCGCTGCTATGGGCTGCACCTGTGATGATTTCCTGAAAGACAGAGATGTGAGGTTAAAAACATCACTCCAACTTGTCAACATTCATAATAAAGTTGAATCTAATTTTCATTAAGATGGTTAAATATCTAATTCTAGCCGCAACTAAAAAACCTCAGTAATTTTCATCAAATGGTAAAACAAAGTCATTTGGCCTTGGAAGGCATAGAACTATGTGATGAAATAGGATTCCATTTCTTCATGCAGGTTTTAAATCCCCTAAATTATGCAAATTATACTAAGAATTTGCAAACTTCTCAATATAAGACACTTATCCTCTTTTGTTGATTATGAACGTTCTGACTTTATGATGGCTTCCTCCTACAAATGAAGTATGAAATCTCAATGAATAAAAAATCTACTTAATATTAATTTGGTCCTAGTGAATTTGATTAGCATTGTAATTAATATATTTAGTAAAATTTCTATTAATAGTTTCAAAATTTATTCATGATTAAGATAACCAAAAATAATGAGAAAGAAAAATGAAGTATGCTTAGTAAGACACTATTTTACATTCCACATCCCCTTATGTTATTCATGCTCCATCCACTCATCTTATCTGCTATCACAGTCGTAGCCACATTTGCCTAGTTCACTCCTGCACTGAAATCATCCTGCACGATCTCTTCTAAATCATGCGCGAACCCTCACCAAGCATGCAGCCTCACTCTCACCCTTGATTCTTCTCTCTAGCATTGTGACCCCAGCCGCCTCTCCCTCTTGCTCTTGCTTTCTATAAGTCACAGTGACCCACTCCCTCGTGTAATCTCTCTCACGTAGATCTCTCCAGCCTTCATTGCTTATTCATCATCTCTCTCTTAGATGCCACACTTAAGTCCCCTTATCTCTCTCATTCTTTCTCTCCCTTGCACATACGAAACAAGGACCCACACCACATCCTTGATCATTTTGCTCTAGATCTTATCCACGTTGAAGCCATTGATATCTTCTCCCACACTTAGTGAAGACCACATGCTTTTTGTATTCTCTTCCTCACACTACTATTCTCTATGTGCACATAATCTATACTTCTCTACTCCCAACTCCATTGAAGTGCCACACCTATCACTTGCTCGTTTTCTTTCTTGGTAACTAATAGCTCTACTCACAAAAGCCCTCCTATTGTTCCACAAACCTTAGCACAACTATTTGCTTTTGCATGACATAAGCTACGTAGACGGCGACAACAACTATGACCACCTCAAATTTTCTCTCTCGAACCTCCATGACATAAATCATGTCTCACCCTCTTTGACATCTGTCAGGTGAGCCTCATAGCTTTTCCTATAGCATAAATCATGTTGTGCTCCACTATGATATATGTTTGAGCATACATCATGGTCTTTTTGACATTAAAAAACTAAGAAAAACTATGGAGAGATGTCTGTTTGTGGTCTCTCATATTTGAACAGCTCAAGCTCTTTTTATTAATCACATAAACTTCTCCATTGAGTAGGTAGCCACCTAAGGTCGTTTGCCGCTTTTACCACCATCAGAACTCATAGTTTACTACATGCAACAATGGTCCCATTTGCTTGCTTCAATGAGATGCATGGAGGAGTTGCAACTGTAAAGAAATGCTAAAAGAAGAACACTAATATTTTAATTAAAAAAGGCTAATCATTCAAATTAAATGCATTTGTACATTACACTCATGGAGCGCGCCATCAATAATATAAAATCAAACGTACCCTTGCCACTTTTAAGGCGTTCTCTCCAAAAAAAAAATCATCATAAGACAACACATACAATATTATCACTACAGAAAACCTTTGATTAATCTCTCCTACATCAAGGCAAAGGCATCCATATGTTTGCTTTCCCATATGGTGGCCCAATAATCATCTGCTCTCCCAATTAGCATCTCTCCTTATGTTCACTCTACGATGCTGTTAGGACAAACAATCAATCACTTTTCCATCAAAATAGTGGGTTTTGCTGGATGTCCTCAGGTAAATCTAGCTGTATAAATTGTTCATGAAATTGGCTTAAACAATCTAAATGCCTTCGATTACTCCATGCATTATGCTTAGGTTAGTTTCCTTGCAATACTCGATAGCATATCATAAGTTGAAAATTCACTAATTGTTCACATGAGTGTTGGTTTCAGTTGAAATTCTAATTTTGTGAGATGTCAGATATGGGCACACATTATCCTAAAATCTGCAGTTCATGTATTAAAGTTTGTAGTTAGAAATAATCATCGAGGGGATATTGTAAGTTGTAGCTGATTGAAAAATATGAGTATTATGTAGCAGATTTGTTATATGAAGTAAAACCATCATCACATTAACTAAGTTTATCATTTTCTAGATCTTAAGCGAACTCTAAATATGCGTGATTAGAGTGCTTTTATGTTTCAAATTTGATGGATGACATAAGAAATATTTTTGTTGCCTTCTTTTATAGTCTTATATCTCATATGCTCAATTGAGATTATAAATGCATACAATCTGCTTAACTATGAGATAAAGGGGTAAGTAATACAACCTATTAAATGGAACCTCTTTCCATTTATATTATGTTCTAGTTAGTGATTTATATGAAGGTGATCTACAATGTTTGCATTTATTCTCAATGATTTCGTCTTTATGATATTATATACTTCCATCGTTAAAACAATCTATCTGATGTGATGCAAGCTTGAGTTACACAAAATTATGAAAGAAAATTTACTATTAGCTTAACCGTTATAAAATCATGCATCCATTCAAAGTTGGTTACGAGAAATCTTTGTGTTCCACTCGCTTAGGCAAAGAATTACAAGGAAATTAACCAAACGATTTAATCAATACAAAGGAGAAAGTAACGTTAAAAGCTTATAACTTGAATCCAACTATTAATAACGAGTTGTTCACCTTGAGGCCTTTCTCTCTTTCCTACGAATCTAGGTTGAGCGGCGGAAGAGCGTCCACGCTAGAAATGAAGTCGCCACGAGGAGGGAGGAGCCAAGGAACGTCGTTGTTGAGAAGGAACTCAGAGGTGGAGGTGGCACGGGAGGATGACCTTTGATGATCCAAGTGTAGTCTGAAAATTGATCGTCGACGGCGTCCACTAGGGTTGGAAGGATCCGATTCAAGTACTCCTCGACGGTGTCGTCAAGCCAAATCCAACGTCGAAGAAAGGAGATCGAAGGACGTGGATGGCTCCGTGGATGTCATAGAAGAGTCCGTGATCAACGGTGGGATCCTCCATACAACATGGACTTGAAGATGAGCGGTCACCACAAGAAACTCCAAGGGGGGGAAGGGGGTCGGCCGGTGTTGTGGCTTGGGATGAGAGGGGCGGCTAGGTTAGAGAATTGTTTAGGGAGTTTTTCTAAATCTGAAATTAATTTTAGATTTAAGTGGTTTTGGAGGGAGTAAATTGAATTTCAAAACCTAATTTAATTGAGGGAGGGGACTAATTAGGCAAGAAAGTAAATTGCCCATTCATGGGGGGGGTAGGCTCTAGGGGCGGCGACAACAGGGTGGGCTCTGGTTTCTTCAAGTTCCTGTGTTTTACTTGTGATCTTCTATAGCAGAGAGGCAAGAGACTAAGGGTTGCAAGTCTTCAATGATTCCTCCACGTGAACTCACAAAGAGATCACAAAGAACTCACTAAGAGATCTCAAAGAAATTGAACTCACAAAGAGAACAAAAGAGCAAGAAATTTCATTCCATCATAATCAATCCTCATACAAGATACAAGAGCCATATATATAGGCTGTATATGACAACTAGTACAAAAGTCTAACATGCCCCTTGGGCTACAAAAGCAATTAAATACCCCTAAGGGCAAAAATGGAAAGACTGAAAATAAATGCATAATACATAAAATGCAAATACAAATAATCATCAATAGTAAAGGCTCTCCATCATGGCTATCGATCGCCGGTGTCGTCTCTGATAAACGTGCTGGAATATCCTGTCGATGTCCCCATCACTATCTTCTGCCTTTTAGATCTAATTTTAAAGCTAATTTTTCAGTCATATAGAAGTTGGTTGGTACACAATTATCAGTTGGACTCCCCTTCTTTAACAACTTGATAAACTAGTTGAAACAATCTTCAGGCGAATTGTACTCTAGTTTAATGTTCAGCATTTATTATTGCAATTGATAATTCTAATTATAGGTGCACTTTGCTGCCAGTTGTTGAGTAACATGCAACATGCAAAATTGTTGTGCCTTATTATTTGTTTTCTTTTCAACAGTTTGCTCAACAAAGTTGTTCCAAGTTAGGGGCTAATGGAATCAAATATCAAATCCTGGCATGTGGAAAATCATTAAATCGAAAAAAAACATTAATTTTTTAACTTCATTTATTACTTATTGTTTGATTTTTAAGTTTATCTTTATGTGCGCATGTTTAATCAGAACAACATTTACTTGAATTACAAGTTTATGGATTGCTACATCTGGATATAGACTTGAAGTTTTTTTCATAACTTTAGACAAAAAATACTTAAAACTCTTTTGAAAGTTGAATCATATTATTGACATTAATTTCTTTTAGTAATACAGTTATGAAAGTAAGGTGTGGTCTTCAATGTTCAAATCGACTTTTTTCAATTCATCAATTGTTGATTTAATTTCTTCTTTAAACTAAAAAATGTGCATCCCTAATTTGAATTCGATTTGCATTGCTGGCTGTTTCTAAACACAACGTCACAACCTACAAACAATATGTTCATCATTTACTTGTATCTGTTGCAGAAAATAGAAAGGATCCTTAAAATCTGCATCCCATGTTATTATTCTCCATAAATTGTGTTCTGGCATAGTATTATAAAATTGGAAGAAATCCCTAAAATATTCTCCATCTATTATTCTTCTCTATCAACATGCATACAACCCCTTGCTGCATGTTTTATAAGTTGCCGTTGACTATTTCACGCAACAGGCAGTCCTTCCAACAGCAAGATGTTTAGCGAGCTTTTAGCTGTATTACTTCGCCTTTTTCACTCATACATTTGAAAGGCGTCTGGAAGTGATTACATTAGTGATAAAGTA